TCTGACCCCTCTGGTGTTAGACTGGAGTGGGGAAGGGAATCATAGGCCTCTTAAGACTGTGTAAGAATGAAGTTGGGGGAGCTGGCCGGAGGGTCACCAGTGCAACTTTCATTTAAACATTTCGGGATGTAATCGTTACACCCCTCTGCATCCAAACAAGCAACAACTGGGGTTTTAGTGAAGTGGGATTTGAGAAGTTTGCTGAAGCTCCCCCTAAAAGATGCAGGAAGGAGTCTTAAAGAAGGCTAGGGTATGAGGATGGCCCATCAGTGCGACCCTAAGATCCAAATTCTCCTCACTATTCATGGCTGTTTTCTATGCACCAACAGCACTAAGTCCATCCCCCCTCCCCCGCCCCGAAGTGTTCACTAACCCAGTAGAGCAAAGGATGATTTCCCAGTCCCCCCCCAATCAATACACCTTGATTAAGAGACCGAGGAGTTTTCAAATAATTGCGTATTTATAAAGTTTTTGAAACCTATCTCTTTTAAAAAACACTGGGAATGGATGGACTCCGTTATAGATGTAGGCATTACAAAAATACAGTATGAAACTGTTCACTTTGGAATGGTTTTAGCTGTAAACTGACACTATGGGAAATGGGGTTGCTTCTACCAGGGAAAGGGCACACTGGTGAGTTAAACTCTCCAGTAGGACAGTCACCAAGAGAGGCAACCCAGTGTCTAGGTTTTCAGTAAGAACAACGCCAGCAGAATATGTCCCCAGAGTACATTCTGTCTACCTTCCTCTACCCTTCAGATGGGCAGGGTCAGTGTTCACCCAGAAGGCAGGGCCAGGGCAAGGACTTTGACATTTTGCTTCTATTACCTGTTCTGTCCTCTGAGGCTTTTCTAATACCCATTGGTTCGGGCATTAAGTAATTCAATGAAGAGTGTTCTGTGGTTTCCTGGGAAGAAACTTCTTCAGGAAGTAAAGGACTTTGACTCCAAGAGTTTTGTCCCAGAGATGATATCATATCCCTCAGAAGCTTTCTCTATACCCATTTCTTTTTATAAAAATCTCAGTACAGAAGGGAAAATTTTTGGCCCTTTCCTGGACATTGCCAATGATGAGTGGAATCACTGGACACTAGCCAGTCACCTTAGAAGCAATTTGGCTTTTGTTGTTATATAAGGAAAACAATACAATTAAGGGTAAAAGGTTAAAAAAGGAATTCCCTAAGAAAAAGATGTCAAGAACATTCTGGTCATGAAGATTCTTTAGATATGTTGGGCTAGACTTGACCATTGTAACTGTCAAAGAATCTAATTAAATACCATTGAAATAAAAATAAATATCCCTTTCTTCCTTTTTTGTCTTTTATTTAAAAGGGAACTGATTGTACAATAAATATATATATATAATGCACACACATATATATATGTGTGTGTATCTGTACATTTTTGTCTTGCTTTTTTTGTTGTTTCACTTTTTTTTCTTTCTAGGCAGAGTCTCACTATGTAACCCTGGTTAGTCTGGACACACTATATAGACCAGACTGGCTTCAGACTCACAAGGCCTGCCCCTGCCTCTGTAATGCTGGGATGAAAGTTATGCTCCACTACATTGGGTGGAAATTTTAATGAACAGCCTAACATTAGCTCAAAACAAGATTGTGGTTTTGCAGCTTCATCGTGGATTCTTTACTCTAGTTACGCAACAACACAAACACATACCTTGCTTCTAGAAGGGGTAATACCACAGATAGATAGATAGATGATAGATGATAGATAGATAGATAGATAGATAGATAGATGATAGATAGATAGATAGATGATAGATAGATAGATAGATAGATAGATAGATAGATAGATAGGATGGATGGATGGAGAGGGAGAGAGAGAAGAGACAGACCAACAGAGAATGTCAATAGTCACAGAAAGGCAGAGTCACAATGACAATTCTGCTTACACTTTCACCATCAAGGCCATAACTTGATCCTGTAGGCAGACTGATCGAGGATTTGGGGAACCTGAATCTGCTACAAAGGCTGGGATAGTATGCAGACATCAGCCACATTCAAACATACTTTCATTGACTGTAGCCCACAGATAATTTTAACAAGGGCAACATGTCTTATTTTGATTAAATGATATCCCTTAATAACAAAACTTTAGGGCGAATCCTAATTCAGAGTTGGCCAGTCACTTGCTCACAATAATGATGACCAGCAGATGAGGGCAGGTTATCCTTGGTCCTTGAGACCTTAGGACCGAGTGGGAGGTACAGTCTGTTGTCCTCATCCATGAGTAGTCCTCCTAAGGAAGGCAGGGGTGATGTGTCCCTAGGAGCTCCATACATGGAGCCCAGGGTGGTCTGAGCTCTGTCATCTGCTCCCTCGATGTGCTTTTGAAACCTCACCCTGAGCAGCCTACACCCCCAAGGCAGTGAAAGAGATGGGCGGAAGCAAACTTTTAGATTGTGCACGCCCCTCCCCAAATGAATTCTTAGAATGACGGATTGTCTGAAACCGCGGGAGCGGCTTTCTCCTTCTGTGGAAGCGGGTTTATCCACACGAGGCCTTTCTTTTTCAAGGCTCGTGTGCTATTTTAACTACCTGCGGAGGAAAACGAAGCCGGCAGCTCTAAGGGCTGCTGGCACTGGAACCAGGTTGCCCCGTGAAGTCCAGACCTGGCAATAATTCCCCAGCTCTCTCAAGCAGACCATGGAGGGGGCAGTCTGAGAAGTGTAGCTTACCTCTATGCTATTCCTTTCTTTAATTTTAATTGCTAACATACCAGCGACTTAAAAATGACTCATGCACTCAATAAAAATGAAACTACTTGAGGGAAAAAAAATAAACAGAAAAAAAATGTCACCTCCCCTTTAATGGTAATAAATGTAACTTTAAGCCAAGACATGAGCAAAGTAACAGATTTATCCTCAAACAAGCTAAGTGGGACAAATGTAGCTGGCTCTGTACTGCAATTCCCCAGGCTTCCTTATTATTATTTTTTTTTTCTGAGCTATCTTGAGACTTGAAGCGGGAGGTCAAGCGTATGGTTCTTGAGACCATATTCCGTGGGAATATACAAGATTCTGGTATTGGTTTGTGATGATATTATGAGTTCCCCGTGGAAACAAAGTTACCTTTCATTAAAATCAGTTAATGCATCACCACTTGATTTTTATTACTGTATTAGGGCTCTTTTTTCCAAATCCCTTCCCTTTGGCTTCACTAACCATGTGGCTGTTCAGGTTGGGGCAATGCTGACAATGTATTTCAAGGGTTGTTCATCATGTTTTAGGTTAAAAAAAATGATTCCTCAATATTCTAGGATTCCCAGAAACTGAAGGAAGGAAGCTTTAAGAAGCCCAGGAATGCCGGGCGTTGGTGGCGCACACCTTTAATCCCAGCACTCGGGAGGCAGAGGCAGGCGGATCTCTGTGAGTTCAAGGCCAGCCTGGTCTACAGAGCGAGTGCCAGGACAGCCTCTAAAACTACACAGAGAAACCCTGTCTCAAAAAAAAAAAAAAAAAAAAAAAAAAAAAGAAGCCCAGGAATGTGACTCTCCGTCAGACCACGCGGGAATATTTATGATCTCCCTTTGTCTTTCAACAATTTTTTTCACACTGAAAAACCTTTTTGTCTGATTTTTGTTGAGATGTGGTATCTCTGTGTAGCCCTGGCCACCCTGGAACTCGCTCCGTAGAATAGGCTGGCCTCGAACTCACAGAGATCCACACCTCATGTACCACCCTGGCACAGATTTTTTTTTTAAGAGTGGGGAAAACTACACATTGGGGTTACCCGAAACATCCTCTTACCCATGGGGACATTAGAAAAAAAAGTAAAAAAAAAAATAAGCACAGATACGAGACTAATCAACAGGGCACGGGAGAGATGGACAGCTAATGCCCACAGCACCATCCTGGAGTCAGTAGGGGTGTGAGGACAGCCCCTGTAGGTCATAAAGACTGTTTTAAGAAATATGATCACCGTAGAGAGACTTCTCAAAAGGATCCCCTTTTTGAAAATAGCTGAATTCAATCAGAAAATATCCGTGAAAAAAAAAAGAAAAACAATATAAAATTTTACAGTCCGGGGGAGCATGGGAGCAAGGTTTATGGGTTGGCGAGCGCTGCAGATGCTGAAAACAATGGTGGCCTGAGGTCCTTAGAAAGTCCTGCAGAAAGGGTTCATTGGGTAAGCCACAGGAAGAGAAAGCTGCTGACTGGCTGGAGATAGATGAATCAGTCCCTACGCTTCAGCGGGGGAAGGGGGTGGATGGGGGGGCAGGCGCTGGGTTCTTTGCTTTCCAGCCGGTCAACTTCATATCGGTTTTAACAGAAGGAAAGTACAACACTGTAATCTGGAAGCATATGTAAGGCAGCAAAGAAAAAAAAACCTGTCACTCTAGAACAGCCAGGTCAAGGTAGGTCCACTTTCGGCTAGGCTAGCAACTGGCTAGAGCTCACAGCATTTTGCTACACAAGATATGTATATATATATATAAACAAAACAAAGACCCACACAGCAGAAGGGGCGTGGCAGTGTATGTGTTCTGTGTTTGTGTGTCTGTGTGAGAGGAACACACGACAAAATGGAAACCCCACCCCGCCTCCGGTGCCAACGGGTTTGAGTCCAGTCAAGTCAATTAAGGCTACTAGGTAACCAGTTGCTATGAAGAGTCCACTCCAATCCGAGCAGCGGTTGCGCCGCGGCACTGATCTCGAGGACACACGGAAAGGTTTAGAGGAAAAAGTTAAGAAGTTCTCGGGGAGGAGGAGGAGGAGAAAACAGTAAATAAATAAATGAAGCACACGCATGCACGTCGTTTCCCAAGTGAGAAGGAGAAAGATGCGAGGGAGAGACCAAAGCTAATCCGGCTGCTGCGAGGCAAGGCAGGCGTTTGCTCCCAGTTTGCAGTGTCCCAGTTAGTGCCAGGTACAGTGAGGTCTAGGCTTTAAGAGGTGGAGAGGCTGCCCGGAAGAAAGGGGAGGAGAGAGAAGTGGTCACATGACAACACAGCATTGACAGCGCTTTTTCTTTTGGGTACCTGGGGCGGGTTCTGTGGCCAGGCTCTCTTCCTTGCCTTCTGGGGAGGAGGGTTCTGTGGTGTCCGACATGGGTCTCCCGGACACCAGCTCGGCTGCGTTTCCATCGACGGTGGACACGTCCGTGACTGTCTTCTCTCTTAGGGACTTCTCGTCGTCTTCATCGATCAGGACTAGTTCCGCCTTGATGGTTTCGTCGTAGCCTAGCACCTTTTTAGTCTCCTCTTCATCCTCGATGTTTTGGTAGCCCATGAAGATCATGGTGACCGGTTGGTCCAGGTTGGCCTCTGGCCCTTCCGTGCCGCAGGGCTGGGCCTGCTGCCCAGGGTTTCCCGGAGCCTGATCTTTCCTAGATTTTTGCACCATTTCTAACTTGGCTTCTTTGCAGAGCATGTGTTCCTTGGGGTGGCCCAGGCTCCCATCTGCAACAACAGTCCTTTCCGACGCGTGTACCCTGAAGCTCGATTGTCCCGCCTTCTGGATGAGGTCGTCCACATCTCTGGCACTTAATCTGTGGACTCCGTTTTCTACCACGGTGCCGCCTGAGTGCACCTCATACACTACTTTGGTACCATCATCATAGACTTTGACTCCTCTCTGGTGGACCCCCTCTGGGCCAATGGTGGATGCAGAGAGAATCTTGGTCTCTCCTGTCTGTCTGTCTTTCTCCACATTAATTTCCATGGCGTATATAGCTTGAATGGAAACAAGAGAGAGGAAGTGCATGTTACAACAAAAAAAAAGCCAGTGAATGGTTAATTGCCAAACAGACAGAAAGAAAAAAAAGCGGTTTGTGCCCTTTCTATTGCAACCACCAAGCATCCTGAGTGTTAGCGTGAGGCGGGCAGTGTGGACAGAGGTGGTTGGTCGTATGCGCTCTTCACACAGCAGCTTAACTCACTGGGAAGACGGATGCGAACAGTCTCAATGGCCTCGGACTTTTTAAGAGACCAGCTCAGATAAGAGGCTTCGGATCTAACAGGGCATTGTGATGGGAAGGCCAGAAACATGTAAGTGATCTTGGCTGAGATCTCTGCCTAGGCTTACAGACGACTTCGGAGACGTGCCTACGTTCCAGAACCTTACAGTCATTTCCCCAACTATTTCATCAACCATGCACCTGTTTTTGTTTTTGTTTTCTCTACATTTTCTTGGACCTGCTAATGGAGAAGATGCCGAGCGTTTTGCAGGCAGGACACAGCTGTCCTCCCCTGCACTACGAGTAGCTATTCTGCAGCAACTGAAATAATCGGAAAACATTGACACTGCGTGCTCTGAGAGCAATCCAGCCATTATCTGACCTCCAGCTGAAGTGTAAAGCTACTGTGTGACAACGTAAAGCTACTGTGTGACAACCCCAGGGCGAACCCTTCATAGGACAGGAAGCATCCTTCAAATGCCTCAACGACCACAAGACCACAGCGACACATGGAAGTCATATAGTCATTATAAAGGATTATTTTCAGATCGCATGTGAGTGAGAACAGCTGTGTCACTCAGCAAAAACAGAATCAGTGAGAGGACAGGTGGTCAATACACCTGTAGCATAGGAACGGTGGATGGTGTCTTCAAAGACCTTCTGACCTCTCTCTGACCTCTCTCCGTCCCCTCTCTCTCAGTCTGTGTTTTTCAAGGCAGGTTTTCTCTGTGTAACTCCGGCTGTCCTGGAGCTCACTCTGTAGACCAGGCTGACCTCAAACTCACAGAGATCTGCCTCCTTCTGCCTCCCTCAGCCTAGGCTGAGAAGAGCATCACCCGAGAGACCAGACCCTCCAGCCACCTCACATCTCGATGCTTTTACGAGCCAGCTTCTCCTCTGTCCTAGAGCCTCCAGGGACAGCCAGCATTTGTGACCTCTCTCCCTCGGAGGCTCCCTGTGAAACACGCGTCGTGGACAGAATGGGGCAGCAGGCCCGCAGAGCCACCCTTCACCTTAGATGGCACGCACCGCACGTACACCGGGCTCAGCGGCTTCAAAAACCATTGCGGCCTCTTCTCTCCACCCTCCCCTCATCTTGGGGTGAGGCGACACTGGGAACACAGTCTAGATGTGTACTCTGTAAGCCGGAAGTCTTGAATCCTGTCTGATCTCTCCCTTCTTTCTAACCCCCTCACATCCATCACTGAGGAGCGTGTGCCTCATGGCCTCCCACCCATTATCGTTATCCTCAGCACAGTTTCTTTCCACCGGCCTCAGTCCAGACCCACTCAAGTCCTGAGGAGGACACATGAGGATGGACACAGGGCGGAAGGCAGGCTGGGGAAGGATGGTCCCCCATACTTTTTCAAAGGCTGCGTAAGAAGAAGGAAAGTCACCTGGGAGGTGGAGACAGGAGGATTAGGAATTCAAGGCCACTCTCCCAATGCATAGTGAGCTTGAGGCCAGCATGGGCTACCTGAGGATCTGTCTCCAAAGGGAGAAAAGGAAAGAAGGAAGGAAGGGAGACAGAAGAAAGAGGAAAGATGAGAGGAAGGGAAGAGAGGGATACAAAGGAAAAAGGAAGGAAATGGAGAGAGGAGAAGGGAAAGAGATGGAGGGAAAGAAGGGGAAAAGAGGGAGGGAGGGAAAGAGGGAGGGGTGAGGGAGGGGGAGGGAGGGGGAGAGTACAGAGAGGAAAGATTGCTAACAGATACTATGTGGTTCACACAGTCTGAAATCTTTTCGAGCAGGCTGTGTGTTGGGGAAGTCTGCTGAGCCTGCAGCCATGCTCCGCCTGCAGCCATGCTCCGCCTGCCCGAGTTACCCTTCTCAGAAACCTGCTCTTCTTGCCTGTGGGTTAAGTACCAGCTGCCTGGCTTAGCTACGGCTCCTGTCAGAATGTGTCCCCAACCTTTCTCCCTCCTCGCCTCACAGTCTGTGTTGCTTTCCATACACACGCACCACCATAACCATCACAGTATGTTCAGGACACTGCCCAGACTATCCTGGGCCTGTGGTCCTCCTCTGCAAAATCCTTCGTACTTTCTACGCGTCCATATGCGACAGTCGTCAAGGTCAAGATCAGCTGCCTCTCTTCCCGGATGCTTTCTTTGAACCGCCCATCTCTAAGTCACCCCTTTCTTCCTAAGACTCGCTGAACACTTTCTAAACATCTCTGGGGACGCCGAAGAATTTCTACCTGGCTGTGTGTTTGTATAGTCCAGGATGGCTCTGAACCGCCAACCTTCCCAAGTGCTGAGACTGTAGTGTGCACCACCGCTAGTATTTGCAGGGATGATTCATCAGATCCATAGATTTTTGGGGGTGGGGTGGGGATCCTTGCCTACCATCTATGTGTGATCTTCTGTGGCCAGCACCTACTCCAAGACGTTTTCTTCAGAAGGTACCTGATATACACATTTGTCAAACAAACATAACTAAGTGGTCTTCACCCATCACAAATACTTTGTATAATAGGACACCAAAGAAAGGCTCACAGTTAATGCTTGTAACAGTTTAAGAAATGAGCAATAACATCATTCCAGTTGCTTGCATGATTAAGATACAATCTGTTCAAGGTAGACACTGAGCTAAAATGATTCAGAAGAAAAAAATCCAATGTCTATTTTCCACAGTATCCATTTAGAACGTTTTAGACGCTTGGCATATAGATAATGATTTTTTTTCAAGTGACACTATGGGAGGCCAACCATTATTTGTCACAGAGGTTCATACACAAAGACTGTGATATAAAAATGGTATTTATCTCGGCGATTTCCTGGTTTTTATGTACAGCATGTGATTAGAAAAGCAAAATGGATATTTACAATTTTACATGGACCCCAAAGCTTGTTTTTTTAAAAAATATTAGTTAAATTAAAAATTCAAATTTGGATTAAAATATATCTTACCACTATTAACATAACACTTGATGGTGTCGGGTAAAGTATTGAATTATCTCCCAAATTTCCAGTGACATATGAGCAAAAAGATATATTTCCATGCTGGTGTGACAGGATTCCAACAATCAACACCGGGATGTTTATAGAGATGTCCCTCTCTCTGCCCAGAACACCCTCAAGGTTGGTCCCTTATGGCCTCTTCCCCATCACTCTGCACCCAGCCTGCTTTCACTGTGGTGGGCGTGGGGGCGAGGGGGTTGGAGGGGGTTGAGTAGCTCTTCTCTGGAAAGGTCCCGCAGGTCCACGGTAAAAAGAGGAAGAGAGTTTAGTGTGAAGGAAGGTAAATGCTGGGTGGGGTGCAGAGAGGTGGGGAGGACAAAGGGAATCAGAGGACGCAATCGGAGAACTCCTGCTGAGCTGGGGTGGGAGTTAGGCAACAAGCCGGAAGTCCAAACTCCCATTCCTTTTAAAAACTCCGCATGATGCGCAAACTGGCTTCAGATTTGCTTTCCAGCCTCACCCTCTGGAATACTGGGATTGCAGGCACGGACTACAGTAGGGAGAGACCTAGGCACCTGCGCCGCTGACCACGCCCGTTTTTGGGCGTGGCTACAGGTGCATTCGCGGGGGGGGGGGTGCACAGGAGAGCAGCGGAGACTGCCTGAGCGCTGACCTTGGGTTCTCAGTTTCTCATGTGAGTGATTTCTCCCTAATAAAATAACACACGATAACACACGACATCACTATCCTGTGTATGGTAATCTTCCTCTATAGACCACCACACTGGCCTCTGAATTCCCTTTTATTGTGTGTGTGTCGTTTTAAATGTTATGAAGTGTGACATAACACTGGGACAGGACCACAGGCGAACATAGTTTAATTAGGGGTGTGGGTACATGCATATTTACAAGCACATTTTGAGCATGATCAGTTCAATGTTTCTAGAATTGACCACAGAATATTTTAAGTTATGACAGATTTATGTCATAAAATAAAATATACACATGGACATTTTTTTCTTCCAAGTTAAAAAAAATAAGGCTTCAAAAGGAAGCACAGATTTCTTTTTTTTTTTTTTTTGTGGTTCATCAGGGATGTGGGCCCAATTTTCTCTCTGCATTTACTCTTCTTTGGTAAAGGGTACCTAGGAGGACTCACTGAGAATCTCCGACTTAATCAGAGGCAATGCTTAGCCCTCCCGGATGGAAACATGGAAATGTCCGGTAAACTACCAGAAAGCTACACAGGAGGTAAGGAGGCTTACCTTGGTGTTTTTAATGAGATTCATAGTTTTCTTTTGCTCTTAAACAGTGACATACCAGAGGGTAGAGATGAACCAGTAGGGTACAATCCATCACTTCAGTTTTAGCTTCATGTTTCCTGGTTTTGTTGGTGTTAGGACAGAACCCAAGGCTGTGTTCATGCTTTCTATGCCTGTGCTAAACTCTTTTTTTTTTTTTTTTGAGACAGGTTCTTGCTATGTAGCCCACTTTGCCTCAAACTTGCCATTGTTCTACCTACCATTCAGCTACGTCTGCAGTTGTCATTTTATTTTATTTTTTGAGACATAGTCTCATATAGTCGAGGCTGTCCTCAAACTCACTATACAGTTCAGAATGACCTTGAACTCCTGAACCTCCTATCTGTCCCTCCCAAGTGCTGGGATGACAGACGGATATCACCATCCTTGGCTCCCTGACCTGTTTTCCTTTTTTATTTTGAGACACAGTCAAACTCAGTCGCCCAGGCTAGTCTTGAACTCTTTCCTCTCTCTCCTCTCTCTCCTCTCTCTCTCTCTCTCCTCTCCTCTCTCTCTCTCTCTCTCTCTCTCTCTCTCTCTCTCTCTCTCTCTCTCTCTCTCTCTCTCTCTCTC